ACTTTCTATTTTCCCTCCCCCCCTTTTTTTTTTTTTTTTTTGCCACTGAGTGCATTAAAATAAACCATGTCCAAGGGCTTTTCCACTTTCTACCCCTCTTCTATTTTCTGCTCTAACTCTTCAAAACGTGTCCAAATTTGGAAAAGTAGTAGCAAAAGGAAAAACTAAATTCTGTCTGTCACTTTTCAACTCTTGAAAAGTTAGGGTGGTAGAGGGGTACACATGGAGAACTTAGCATTCTATTCCATTCAGTGGTGAAAAGGGGAACTTAAAGTCTCCATAAATTGAAATTAATTTCTATTAGGAGCACCGCAGTTCCATCCTCGCTCTTTCCCAGGAGCCTAGTATGTGAACAGAGTTGTGGGAGTTGTAGACTAGGAGGTGAAATGTTGACTGGTGCTTCCCACTCATTCAGATTTAGCACCGTCCCACTGCTGCTCAGAGGAGCACAAACAAAGTCGTTAACATGTTGCCCTTTCTCTTGTCTCCATTAGACTCCCAAAGGTACCTGTGCCGAATCAGTGAAGATTGCCATTGATGCTGGTTACCGCCATTTTGATGGGGCCTTTGTGTACTACAACGAGCATGAAGTGGGACAGGCCATCTGGGAGAAGATTGCAGAAGGAAAAGTAAAACGAGACGAAATCTTCTATTGTGGCAAAGTGAGAAGTTACATCAGACTACTTACTCTTGTGATTTATTTTTGTGGGTGTTCTGGTGGGCTGAACATGCAGTACATTTCCTTAATTTCAAGTTAAATCATCCAAATATTTCAGTACTTTTTCAAACCCAACCTCCTGAGGTTTTGCTCATCGTTCGCCTCTTGGAACTTGTACAGTGACTCTTTCTTTGCATTGCACATGCACATTTTCCATTGCAGGCCTTTTCAAACACCACGGCTTGAATTAATTGTTTTAAAGAGACTTAATTAATTTACAGGGAAGGGAAGGGAGGGAGTGGGAGAGGAAAATCTGCAACTACATGGAGGCTTCCAAAAAGAAAAACGCTACGTATAATTTTAGGCTTAACTTTGACAGTCGTCTCATACAGCTGGATTTCCGAGAAACACTTCACATAAAAGCCAGCTTTCATTGTGGGATTTATATGTGAAATTCAGTGATCGATGCAGTAAACTGTCTTGTGGTGATGTAGTCTTGTGCTTAATTTCAAGAGGGGAAAGGCTCCTGAGAATGAGTCATGAGCTAGTCAAAGTTTAAAATCTTAAATCTGACACTTTTTTTAAAATCATCCAAACAAGTGAAATGGAGAACTTTAGTTCAAAGCATTGATAAAGGGATTCAACTTTAACTTTAGGTCATTGGTACAAAAGTGGTACCAGTTCAGTTATGCGTGAAATAAGCTAGCAGGCTCAGGTCAGTTTCTGACAGGCAGCTGTTCATGTTATAAAATCCCCCACCACACTTAACACAGTGCTCCTGGCATCTTCCTTTCTCTGTACAGTGGATTTTAAATGTGCACCACAAAACATTGGTTTAATAAATATTTCAGACATATAAAAAGTATGCATGCAGTGTTTTGTACTGAACAATTGTAGCTGTTTACTTCCATAGCACCTTCTGTTCTAGGAGCTAAGTACTCCGCAAACTAGGAGTCTAAGCCACAGCTTCAGATGGTTTTAAGGCTTAAGTGAGTTCTCAAAGGTTAGAGAGCAAGTCCATGGCAAAGCTGTGAACAGATTGCCAATCCAGTGCTTCCGCTATACCATGCTAGCTGCTTTCTGTCACAGATGGGTGGGAAACAGTTTTCCTGTTACGGGGGGATTTCAAACTCTTCCCCAAACTGGGGCAAAGTCAGTCACAAGTTTTTCACTAATCAAAAATCTAAACTCTGGATCAGGTCAATCAAAGCAGTTTGTATTGAGCACTCTAAATTTTTCAAGTGATTTTGACATTTTTGAAACGAGAAGTTGTTTCAAAACAGGACATGACAATCTTGAAATGTCTCAATTTTTTAAAATGGGAATTCAGCAAAATTGACCCTTTCTTGCAGGAAGCTTTTGGTTTCAACAAATTTGTTTTTCCAGCAAGAAATGCCATTTTGAAAATTTCCTACCCAAATCTAGAAGCAAAGTCTTCTAACACCCAGTTACCTGATCTAACCCCTAGACAGCCTTTCTATTAAATGCACTTCATCAAACCATTGGCAAAACGTCTTGTATTTATCCTTGAGTCAACGTTCAGTTGGACAGAGTTTTTCTTTAGGGAGGGTGGAACATGTGGTTCCCAGAAATGAGGTTGTGATCCTGATCCTATTAGACTGTAGCTTTTGTTGAGAGAAAGACATTCTGGTTCCAACCTTGGCTGCAATAACATGCAATATGTGGGAATTCCTCTACTGCAGCTATCTTTCTATTCTTTTGTCTGGTCACTACTTAACAAGATAAAGATTTAACCTGAACCTTTGGGGTTAAATGTATATTTCATCTGTGATTTTTTTCCCTCCCTCCCCTTCCTGAACTTTGATCCTCCTTTTTTTCTTAAAGCACAAACTGAGTTAACGGCAAATCTCTAGCATATAATGGCTGACCAACCCTAATTCTTTGCATTAATAGAGACGCAGCAGTAAGCTCATTAGGCCATTTATTACCAGGGCCAGCTCCAGGCACCAGCCCACCAAGCTTGTGCTTGGGGCGGCACCTGGAGGTGGGCGGCGCGGTGCTCCGGCTCTGGCCGCTGGGGAG